GAATGATCATGTGAGGCATCGTACTCACATTACCCGAGAGAACAGAACTCCTAGCAAGGATGGGGACACACCACAATGGCTGCTGAGCTCCTGAGCAAGCACTGCCACAGGCAGTAAGGGAGACGGCAGCACAGCTTAAAGCGGTTGTTGGAAACGGGAACATGAAATTACATTAACCCCCAACAGTTAGAACTGTCACGGCTTAAACTTGACTTACCTTAACTGATGTAAAGAGAAAAAAAGCCCCTTTTATTAAGAACAGCACAAAGATTTAATATGATCTGATTAAAAAACGTTGAGAGATAACAGAGATTATCTGCATAGAGGGGAACGTTTATAATTCCGCTAGACAATAAAAGTTAAGAGCACAGTTACACACATGAGCAGAAGGGAAAGATTTTGTGCCCGAAGCCTGGGAAGAGACAGTACCTGCTGTACACTGGAGTTGGCTGTGACACTGCCCAGCTGCTTGCGTAGCTCCTCGAGCTCCTGTAGAGATATCTTGGAAGCAGAGGAGGGAATGGAAAAGTTTGTGCTGCCACTGGTTGTTGCATTTGCCACAAGTTCTGCCCTTTCTTTAGCATTTTGTTGCAAATACTGGAGCGTCTGTGCATACACAAAAAAGAAAAGATTTTGTGAACGCTGGTCAGCACACACTAAAGCAAAAATCACACGACCATAAGACGGCTGTGCTGAATCAGATCACAGATCTTTCCGTCCCAGTCTCCCATGTCTCAGTGGTTTATATCAAGGAGTGTAATTCTTAGTAGTCCTTCAACAATTAAGTAAATGCTGGAACTGGTTATCTGTTGATTTCAATGCATTTTGCTGAACACTGTCATCAGAAAGCATGCTGTACTTAAAATCACTGCATTGTTGCTATGGCTGAATACTTAGAACACACCCAGTTCTAAAGGATAAACAAACCTCTTTGTCTTCCGTGAGTTTTGATAGCAGATAAACTAAAGAATCTAGGTGTCTTGTATTTTTAGACTTCAGTTCATCATACTTCTTTAAAAAATCTTCAGGAGTTCGAGAAAACTCTGCTATTTTTACCTGTAAAACACCACATTAACATTAAATGTTTAATGTACATTATTATCCCAACATTCCAAAGAGGAGCATCGTGGAAAGACAGAGACAAGGTGCAGGCTGCTGCTGCCGCCAAAGTACTTCAGGGAATGGGTTGTGAACTGAATGCTGCAGCACTGGTTTCCTCCTAACAACAGCTGGAGGAGAGTGGAGGTCCTAGCACTTCAGGTCATGGAGAAGGGACTGCAGGAGAGAAAAGACGAACGTAAGCACAAGATCTGTAGCAGGGCTCGCTTTGCCCACGCTCAGTCTGAAGCAATATAATTTTGTATCGGCAGGTTTATTAAGGGATTTGGCATTGATGAAGCCACATCTGGACACTGGGTCCACTTTGAGGGGCCCCAGGAGCGCAAGAGAGTCATCAGCAAACTGGACTGAGCCATGGAGATGGTGCGGCATGCTGCCCAGTGCCCAGAAGGGTTACAGACCCTGCTCCAAGGGGCACAGCAAAAGCACCACAAACACCGCCACAAATTGCGACCTGGAAAATCCCAGCTGAATCCTAGGGAAACAGTCCTTTCTGGAGAGAGAGGCGACCCTGCGTCACAGCCAGAAAGATGGAGGAATCTCCTGGAGATCTTTAAAACGCAGCTAAGCAGTGTGCTGTAGCTGTGAAGCTGGCCCTGCTGCGAACAAGGGGTTGGACTGCAGGTGTCCAGCTGTGCCTCCTACTTAAATCTTTCTACAAGTCTACAAGTCAGTGTAAAGGATGAGTAAGACTGGAATCATTGAAAACTCACCGTTCAGGCTAAAAAGATCTGAACTTTCAGATAGAGTTAGCAAGTTTCTAGCACTTACAGCTTGACTGATGGCTTGCTTTTAAAAATGGCACTGAAAAGCAGCACAGAAGTATGCCTGGTCACAAGAGTGTCAGGCTTTAATCCCTAGTACCTGGGTGATATTCAGAAAAAAAGTCAGGTATTGTTCATATAAGCACATTTCATACAGTTACTACTTTTCATTTGTTTTATTTCTCTAATTAAAACTTGAAACAACCCTCACAGGCACAAAATAAGCTCCTCCTTTAAACTTCCCCCTCACCCCAGTTCTAAAAATCTTTCTCATGTTCTTCCACCGATCTCTCCAAGACACAATGATTTTATCTTTTTTCCTGATATAAACTTTCTACTTTATAAGCAAAATTGAGATTCCAGATCAGACTACTCCCCTTTTTTTTTTACCAACGCCAACATGATTTCCCTGTTACTCTTGGAAAAAATTGGGACAGCCATTACCCCTCCCAACACACGTCCAGCTCCGTGCTCACAGAAGTCAAGTTATCTCACAGAAGAGTAGAGTAAGGAAAAGGTAGTTCACATCACTGTCCGAAAGAAATCATGCAGAGGAATGTTTATCTCAAATTTCTCCTTAGGGAGGACCATGCTTTCAGGGCCAACGGAACCTCTATCTACAACCGCGAAAGAAGCACACCGCTTCAGGCGCCCCACCGCTCCCCCTATAAGGTCTGAAATGCACCTCAGCTGTGACGACAGCACACTGATGCTTACCTTCGCACTGTGTGCGGAGACAGTCGTGGTAACATAAGGCGTTCGATTCTTCTGCAGAAGATCGATGTAGACTTCAGCTCCTTCCCCCCCATGAACACGCAGCAGGCTGAGCAACTCATTGACATCATGGTGAATGCGGAACTCGCTCATACTCCTACCTGAGGCTACAAGCTTCGTGGGACGCAGAAACAAACGTGGTAAAGTTATTCTTTTACTGCTGAAAATGAAACTATACCCACACAAACATTTCTCGACTACATTATAAGCCTGCAGGGTATGATAAAATATTTGACCGGCATAAAGAAATACATATAAGAGGAGGAAGCAAGCAAAACAGAGATACTCATTACTGTGCCTGATTTAACTATACTGGTACAAACCCCATCTTAAACATAGATGAGGCAGCAGAGGATTTCTCTATCCCAAAGATCACACTGGCAGTAGAAAAGTTACTGAGTAAAAAGTTATTGAGTAACTTTTAGTTACTTTTAGTAAGAAGTGGTGGTTCTTGTACTGACAGACTGCAGACACAGCTGAAATCGCTGGCTTCAGCAGCCTGCTTCTGAAGTTACTCAAAAGCAGTTTTGCCAAGTTTAGGAGTCCTTATATTCTACTGCCCATTTTATTAACAGACAAGCACCAAATTCTGCAAAGTTACTAAAATGGTGGTCACACAAGTAAGAGTCTGACTGAGGCATCGTACAAATACGGAGTTTAATGTGACACCCTGTACAGATGGAGAGCATCAAGCAGACGGACACACTTTTGGTTTGCCAAAATCATTGAATCATTTAGGCTGGAATGGAACTCTGCAAGCCTCGGTCCAACTCTCCACCCAAAACTGAGTCAAATTAGAGCAGGTTGTGCAGGGCTTTGTCCAGTCCAAACTTAAGTATCACTAAAGATCCAGATTCCCCCACCACTCGGGGCCCCGATCCTCATGTGGAAACATGTTTTCCAAATGTCCAACTGGGATTTCTGTGCTGCAGCTCGTGCCAGTGCTTGTGGGGCTCTTGCTGTGCCCCTTTGAGCAGAGTCCAGCCCCAGCTCCTCTAGGACCCTTTCAGGTAGGGAGAGATGCTGTTGGATCGCTCTTCACCTCCTCATCTCCAGCTGAGCAAGCCCAGCTCTCCTAGCCTCTCCTCGCACACCCTGGCCTCCAACCACTATTGCCAGGGCCTCCCCAGGCTTGCTCCAGTTTGTTTATAATTCTCTCATAAGGGAGCCCCCAGACTGGCAAGAGTCTTTTGGATGTGGTGTCATGAACGAGGCGCTCCCTTTCCTTTACCTGCTGGCTGAGTCCTTGCTAACAAGGGTGAGAACCGGTCTTTGCTGGCACAAAGGCACAGCGCTGGTCACATCCACCCTGCTGCCCTGGACCTCTAGATCCCCTTTTACACAGGTGTGTTCCAGCCAGCTGTCATCCAGCGTCTGCTGTCATTTCGGCTGCTGTGTCTCCAAGGATTCAGCATTTGCTTTTTTTCCCCAATTCCTTACAGTCTCTTCGAGCACACCTGTTCAGCCTATCAAGTTCCCTATGAGTGGTCACCACAACCTGCAGCCCACAAACCCCTTACTTCTATTGTGGGATGCATGCACTCGCCAAAAGCCATCCCTCCTGTCACCCCAGCTGCCAAAGAACACATCAAATGCCACCAGCCCCAGCAGCGAGGACGGACACCAGTAACAACCTCCCGTTCCCCCTTGGGTTGCTGAAGCGACTGGGGGTCAAGAGCGTAAGGAATGAGGAGAGACTGGGGGAGCTGGGCTTGCTCAGCCAGACCTAACGGCATCTCCCCCTGCCCAAAGGGGTCCTGGAGGCGCCGGACTCTGCTCGAAGGGGCACAGCTGCAGCACGGGAAACCCCGGCCGGTCCTAAGGAAACAGCCGGGCCCTGTGCGAGCGGGGAGTCCCTGCGACGGGGCCCCGAGCGGGGGG